CTCAGAGGGCAGCTTCATCGTCTGCTGCCGAACAGCTTGCCAGAGCCGACAGTCTCCTCACCATCTCTTTAGAAATAAAGGTCTTGACATTCATGGTGGTGAGTCACTGTACAGCTCAAGCTGGCCTTCAACTCACTCTGTAGGCCAGGGTGGTCTCCAACTCCCAGGGATCCTCCCGCCTCAGCCTCCTGAGTGCTGTGTTTACAGGCGTGTTCCACCACACTTGGAGTAAGTCTCATACATCTTGCATATTTTCTGGTATCTGCCCCGGCTCCTCGTATGATCAAGCCAGTCCCAGCGCTTCTATCTTCACTCTGGACAGCTGACAAGCTGGCTGTCTTCAGGACTGGGGTCCGTGTTGGTCCGCAAGCCCAGCCCCTGGACACAGCACAAACCCTGAGGGGCAGGCCCTCTGAGCCCCGAGCACCCTGTGAGCACGAGGAGGCCGGGGCTCAAACTCACCCGGCACTGTGGGGAAATAGGGCACGCAGGAAAGCAGTGCAGAGCACCAGCAGACCAACTCCCGCACCTCTGCCCTGCAGTGCAGCTGGAGTAACACAGAAAGCACTCTTCCCCTCTCAGTGACAAAGCCGGCAACAAGTGAACACCCACAGCGCTTCAAGAGGAAACCCGCCTGCTGTTTCCAAACTGGACAGAAGAGGACGCAGACCGATGCAAGGGTAATTTCCTCTGCCGGGAAGCCGGGAGCAGAGAAAGGGAGGGGAAATGCCAGGGTCCCGATGAACAGGGATGAGGCGAAACTCCCGGGGGGCCTTTTTTTAAGATCTCAAAAACGCTCAGTTTTAGCGCCTATAACACCGCTAGTTTAGAGGGAGTCAGAAAAAAATTCTTCCATTATTCTGAGAATGGGACGGGCAAAAGTCATTCTGAAAATGCTGATGCTTTCATAAGTTCTGATAAAAAAACAAAACAAAATAAAAAAAAACTTCTGTAAGGCCCGAACCCCGGGGAGATTTCCACACACAAAGGCTTAGCTGGAAGTGAAGCACCCAACTCCAGCCGCTCCACCCTTCCTCCCCACACAGTGGCCCAGGATAACGTGATGCTGGCATTCACCTCCGGACACTACTCGGATGTTCACCCACGGACGTTAAACAGTGACAAAACCACGGGGGGAGAGGGAAATACGGCTCAGGAAGGAATCAAACAAATCACTCAACACAGACCTGAAAATAAGCAGTGAGTAATTACCGAGAGACAGTCCGGCAGCTATCTTAGTTTTGCAACAAGTGCTGGAGGCTCCCAGAGACAAAAAACCTAAAGCAAACAATACGGTATTTGTAGAAAACACAGTCATGATTTATACCTTATCATAAGACAACACAGAAATTATCCAAGCGCAGAGAAGAAGAAATAAATCTACTGGCACAGATTCCGCTGTATAATCAAGAATTTAAGTTCAAACTGACACATCAACAATTTAGATTGTTAGAGATAATGATCTGGAACATGAGGGACATGAGCTGTGCATAGGAAACACTGTGACTGTCCTAATGCGAACTGAAAACAACAGCACATTTCAAAGAGGGGTGTGGATTAGCTGTAAATCAATGTGAGTGACACTGCAAGCTGAGACAACGCTGGGATGCAATCCTCCAGAAAGTCTTAGGAGAGAACAGAAAATAGAACCATATAGAATGCAATGGAAGCTGGGCATGGCTGTCATCCCAGCACTCGGGAGGCTGAGGCAGGAGGATCGCTGTGAGTTTGAGACCAGCCTGAGCTACAAAGTGAGCTCAAGGCCAGCCTGAACTGCATAGCGAGACTCTCAAAAAGACCAAAAAAAAAAAAAAAAAACCAATGGAAACAAACAGGCAAAAAAACAAAAAAACAAAACCAGAAAGATCACACAGTATTAGAAACAGAACAAGGAAAACAATAGAAAATCAAATGAAAAAAGCTCTATAAAAATTCAAATATACTTACAAATATAATAGCATTTTGAAGTAATCTGCT